ATATCAGAAATTACTCAAAAGTGTGTACAACTTTGTATGGATCCCCTCCTGGGATTGGACACATAAATGGGCCGAAATAAAAACCAGTTTTCAGCTTGACTCGGCACGATGTTATTTACTTTCTCTGCCTATTAGCCTATCGGTCAAGATTTGTTATTCTAGACAGTTGAGTATTAGAGTGGAACAAGCCAAAAGCGTGGTGTATTTTTCTTCTTTAATAATCTGTGCTTTTATTTTTGAAGATACGTAGTTTTGCATCAACCAAGCATGATGTGGGTTCTTCCTCCAGAATTATAAATCACCTGATTCCCTTTTGCTAAAAGATAAGAGGTCAGAGGTGGTGAGCTAAACATTCATTTTGATTGCCCCCCCCCTTTTTTTTACAAGTGCTTGAGCCATGCCAGAGAATAATTGTCCAAAAGATTTAAACAAAGGAGTTCTGAATTTTATCGGGTCAAAGCAGCAAACTGTATCATTAGAAAATGTCTGGCAGTACATAAAATCTTAAATCACGTAGATTAAAAATGACTTGCTGCTTCCATTTACCATGTCTCCATGAAAGCAGTTTTCAAAATATGTTCTTTTAAAATATCTTCAAAATAGTTCCTGGTTGAATGGAAACAAGCATTGGGAAAGTTCTCTTGTTGCAGACATATTCATTAGTGTGGTGTTAGCATTGCCAAAAGGAAGGAGAACATGCCAGGGCAAACATCCCCGGCCCTGAGAACGTCCCTTCTCTGAATTCCTAGCCTGTTCTTTCTCAGCCTCCTCCCCTCCTCTTCCAGAAGTTCCATTGTTGCCATCGTTATCCAGAATGTAAATGGCTTTGCCAGAAATGCTACGCACAGCTTGTCCAAGAACAAACGTACAGGCCATCTATACGCTCATTTCCATTTATTTGCTTTGGGTATTTTTCTAACAGTTGGAAAAGCCTGGTATAGGAAGAGAGCATTGTAGTCTGGAAATGGATTTTTGTTAGAATTGGCCTAGCTGTGCTTGCTCCTCAGAGGCAAGGTTATAAACCGTTTCTGCCTACTTTGGAATAAATAGCGGATTTTGTGTCTCTCGGTGGTATTTTAGCATGTTGGAAGCTTTGTCTGTTCTCCAGAATATTTCTGTACCTAAAAAACGTGCCTTACAGAATAAATTTCCTTTAAGGACTTAACCTTTGGGCCCTTTCCTTTAAATCTCCTGTTCTCAGAGCATTGGCCATTGTTACTAAATCTGAGATTTTTAGAACTGATAGGCCCTATCCAAACTGAATAAGACTGGAGATTTTGGAGATTATATAGTCCAGCTATTTCTCTTTGCAGGTGGAGAAACAGGCACACAGAGGTGAAGTGACCTGCCCGAGCACACAGTTAACAGCAGAGCTGAGACCAGCCCTAAGTCCCCTGTTAGGACTTTTCTCTTCCAGTCTGATTCTGCCCTCTGTCTCAGAGCTCAGATATTGTTTTAACTTAGCACGGGCACTGGGGACTGGGCTCCAACCCATTTATTACTAAAGAACATGTTTCCTAAGTCCTCTTTGGCCCTCTCTGTTATGTACTCTGAACTCAACCAAGCCCAAATCTAGATTTAATTGAAAACTGTGGAAACTGCATTGCTTCCAAATGTGATCCCCAGGAGGGAGGCACCATAACCTTTCAGAGACAGTTTTGATAAACATGTAAATCTCTCATCGTAGCTATTTTCCTGACTCATACCTTTGAGGTTCCCCATGACATAAGTTGTTGAAGCCTCATTCTTACTGTAGGAGAGGCAGCTTATTCCATTTTGCTTGAGATTTGCCATTTCCCATCATTCTTTGCCCAGCAGGTTTCCCGCCTCACTCAGAGTGAAGCCAGCGTCTCTAAAAGGGCCGCAAATGCTCATCGCCTCTCTGACCTCAGTCCGAGTCTTCTGTTCCATATTCTTATTCACTCAGCGTCAGTCCCCTGGTCTCTCTGCTGGTCTTCAGACACATCAAGCAAACTCCAGGCGTGCTCTGCACTTGGCGGTTGGCGTGGTGTCCTCCCTCTCTGCCTTCAGACTAAGTCTCCTGCTCCGTAAGGACCCCGACCATCCTGTTTAAAATTGCTGCCCCCACCCCAGCATTCCTACGCCCAGTCGCCTTCTCTCTGGTGTTTTTCTCCAACACTTGGCTACTTTCTAACAGCACTTCTGTTTTTCAAGACCTCTCCAAATAATGGCTCACCTGCAGCCAGCATTGGGAACCTCTGCCATACATGGCAGTGTTACTTAGCGCTCAGCGTTACTTAAGAGAATTGTAGCAGGATTTTAAAGTATCAAGAACAAATTTTAAGTTCTTAATTGTAGCTTCAAGCAAAATCCTTTACCCACAATAGAACAAGTCTCCCGAATTAAACCATATACAGTGGCATTAACATCTCCCGCTCACCAGAAGGTTTCTTGGCTGTTAGAATCACAGTATATTCCTAAATGCAACTAAACTTGAGGACCAGGTGCTTTATAGCCTGAGGATCTTCTGGCTTTTTTGTAATGAATTTGTATTATTTAAATAAGTGTTTAAGATTTGAGAGCTCAAATAAAATAATTGATTTTAGCTACCCTTTTCCTTACAAGGGTTCAGCACTAGATAACCAATATACAATTAGGTCTACTTTAGAATGTTTGCTGGTTTTAATTTTTTATTTGAAAGTTTTTTTTCAACTATTAAAATTATGCTTTGTAGAAATTTTGGCAAGTCAGAAGAGTAGAAATAGCGGGGAGTTCTCTTCAAGTTGAATACCATTGATACATGTTTGTTTCCTTCTAGCCTTCTTACATTGCTGTGGTCCTGTTAATGGCGCTGGGGGTTATGTGATTTGAAAAGTATAATGGAGGAAATATTTCCACTGTGAAGAATCAAGCACGTTAACAGCTGAACATATTTGCTTCCAGTTTCCTATCTGTACATACTTACTTAAAAAATGGAGCAAATAATATACAAGCACATTGTCTTTTTAAAGGCATATAATGTTATTCATCTTCAATTACCATTCCCCATTCTGTTTCCCGTTCCCACCACTGGCCCTGCATTCTCACTGAAATAATTCCTTTTGTAAGTTTGGTATGTTGGTCCAGTCCAGTTTCCATACTTGTTACAGTAGAGAATGTATAGTGTTGCTTTGCTTTAGTTCCTCTAATGGTATCATGATGCAGCCTTTTTTCCCCCTCAGCTTTGAATCTATCCAAGTTGATACTTAACGGGTCTAGTTCATTACCTTGGCTGTGTAGTACTCCCAGTATGTGGATGCACTACTGTTTCTCCAGTCCTTTTTGATAGGATTGGATTTGGTTATTGGCTTTTATAAATAATGCTTCAGCGAATATCCTCATGGGTCTTCTCGAACATCTGTATTAGTGTTTTTCTAGGGTCATAGAGATTTTTATCCTGCTTTTTCTGTTAACATTAAGACGTGAGCATTTCCATTGGCTTCCATTGGTATAATCTCTTCATAAACACATACATATTAAATCTAGACTTTAAAACACCTTCCATTCCCGTAATGAAAAATTAATATGAAATTGTAATTGGACACAAGCTTTTCTTTTTGCGTCAAAGTAATTTAAACATTGCATGGGCTCTCTTACTAGTAGTAGATAAAACATTAAGCTATTGCAACACAAAGGATCAAAAAATAAAAATTAGACACATATTTAATTACTTGGAGAAGCTAGAGCAGGCGAGGACTGGCATACCTGGGATTTCATATTCTTATTCCCCCTTTTCTAAATCTAGAGAAGTTTGCTAGATTTTTCTGAGATGCCCTCTGTCACAACTCATCCGTGAGGGCCCTCCTCTGATGCCAGTTCTCTGCATCTTTCTGACACCTTCCTCTTCCCTGTACTCTCCCTGACTGTGTCAACTCTTGGAGCACATTGCAGTCACCTCTTCGTGTCTCTTTTCCCACTGATGCAGTGACATCCTCGAGAAGAGTGTGCTGTCTCATTCATTTTGTACCCTAACCAAGCACAATGCCTGACCACGGAGGCATATATTTTGAATGAAGGAAATGTGAAGTCGGGCTTGGAGAGAGGGTGGGGTGGGCTATAGTGATGGTCACTTCAGTAAGGAACTTCAATTTACTGAAAGTATGGGGTGGAATAAGGAAGTCTGAAAAAGAAATGAGGTGATAAGGACAAAATGACAGCTTTGACAGTGGATCTCAGCTTTAGAATATTGTCATTTGCATGCACACAAACTGAATCACCAGTTTTAAGTTAGAAAATAAATTAATTTATCCTTGGAGTTATCAATATATTTGTTAAAGTCTATACTTGTTTTTCTAGGAATAAATCAGAAAACTTGAATCTCTGATAGAGCCATCCTGCAGAGTTTTTGTTTGGTTTTTTTTTTTTTTTTTAACTCCTTGCCTCATTGCTTGATTGCCTCAATTTTAATCAAAACTCCGTTTCCTGGAATGAGTAGACTGAAGTTAAAGGAAACATTTTCATCACCATTCTTATGAAATCCTTCATGGTTTGAAAGCGGTGCTCCCTTAGCGTTTCAACAGCTTCATTCACGTTCCGCACTCAGCGTAGCAGAGTGATACCAGTAACTGAGCTTCAGAAGGAGAAGTTCAAATGCAGAACCTGCAAATTTAGAGATTGAACAAGACAGCTTTTGGGAGGGAAGTCAGAGTAGCTCTCTTAATATTATCATGGCACTAGTCATAAACCATTTATTACTATAAATTTTCATGGCGAGTATCTTCATAGTTCAGAAAATTTCTTTTCATGATTATTTTGTGTAAGAAGTTGCATTGCTCTCAACGTTTGCTCATTTTTTAAAAATAGAACTCTAATATGTATTTTAAGTAATTGACACTGTCAGCATATAGTCTTATCAGTAACCTAAGATCTAAGATTGAAAACAGTGACTTATGGGTATCATCACCTTTTTCCAATACTGAAACTGTTTCTGATACAGAAATACTTTAAAACACATTGTTCTCTGGCTACTTTTTGCTGCTAATTAACATCTCTTTTTACAGGATTCATGAATAAAATTTTCCATCCCAACATTGATGAAGCGTAAGTAACTTTAAAAATGTTTAAATCTTAGCAGCAACTGCTCTTGATTTGAGTTCTTCTCTCTCTTCATTATACAAAAGCCTCAATGATCTTTTTGGATTTGATCAGCAGAGGACTGTATGAATGGTCACTTACACTGTAGAATCCCGGGGACATGATATTCTAAACCATGTAGTTGGAATTCTATATTGGACTGCTTAGATTTTCCTTTGTCATAAATGGGTCCTTCACTTCCCTTGATATCTGGCTAGGATATCCGTTCCCTTTTTATAGACAGAATTCAGAATTCTGTTTTTGGTATGCAGCTTTACTGTTTTCAGCCCGTAAAGTATTTCTCAATTTGTGAGAGTAAAGCAAACATGAATGTCTATAGTCTCATTTTGGTTATTGAATCTTAATTATCCTTTTCTTTCCTTCTAATTTTTTATTTAGCGATATTTTTAAATGTAATACCGGGTGCCTGCTGTTTTGTTTGTTACTTTCGGTGCTGTTTAGAGTACATGATTATTCTCCATTTTTTCCCTTGTCATGCACTGAATTTTGATGTTTCCTGCACATACACACCATGGCCATTTGGGGTGTTCTGAACCCTGTGGAGTAGGTTGTGTACATACATTATGCCCCGTTGTCCTTTGATACATCCACGTATCAGTCATCCTAACAACAGGATGTTCTCTTATGTAACGGCAACTGAGTAGTCAGATTCAGGAATTGAATGCTATTGTGACACAGTACTTTGTAATCTACTGCCATATTCTAGCAATACACCTTTTAACACATTTTTCCATTCAATAAAAGATGCAGTCCAGGCTCGTGTATTATTGCATTTAGTTGTCATGTTTCATTAAACTACTTTAGTCTGGAACAGTTCCTTAGCTTTTTATAAAGTTGACATTATTAAAGAATATAGACCAGTTATTTTATAATAAGACTGCCTCTCAGTTTGGGTTTGTCTGATATTTCCTTACCATTAGATTCAGAGTGTGCACTTAAGGCCAGAAAATCACACAGTGAGATTATGTCTTCAGGGTGTCCTGTCAGAGGCACGCAGGCCTCTCTGCCCCTGGTGACCAGTGTTTAGTCTCATCACCTGGTGAAGGTGTTGTGTTGTCTGCTTTCTCCATTGTATCGTTACTGCTTTTCTCTTTCAGCCTGTAAGGAGACACTTAAGACTTTGTATATATTCTGTTCCTCACCATACTTTCCCCAATTGGAGGAAATCTATTAATACTTTTAAGTCTATTAAAAGTATTTTTCTTGATAAATAAAATTAGTTGCCAGATACATGCAACTAACTTTCTAATTTTTTAAAAATTGCCATTCTTTCCATCTGTTTCAGGTCAGGAACTGTGTGTCTAGATGTAATTAATCAAACTTGGACAGCTCTCTATGGTGAGTTTGGCCATGGAATATTTTTTAGAGATGTTGAGACACTGCCTTAAAAAAATGTCACTTGGCTTTTCTTCTCTGATTTAAGATGTTTTGTTGGGAATGGGAAGGGATTTTGAAGGCCTGGATGGGAAAGTTGGATGAATGAAAAAAAAAATTTCTCCTAAATTCAAACTTTGGTTTAGCAGAAGTTGAGAATAATCTTGTAAGATTCTAAAATGAAGGTATAGTGATATACATATACAGACATACAAATACATATGCAAACATTTGTGTGTGTGTGTGTGTGTGTGTGTGTGTGCGTGCATGTGTTCAGAACTGCATTGTATGCATATTTATCTATAATACCTTCTATTTTGAGGAAAGCTCTTAGGAATGTCCCTAGAAATGACATGCTGTATTAAAAGGTTTGAGGGATCATCTGTTTCAAAGGCCTAAACCTCACTGTGAAGCAAAGAATAACTTAGCTTTACCTTTAGTGCTGAAGTTGACATCTCTTACAGTGAATCAACAATGAATTGCCTAACTCTGCAAAATACTCTGCTAAATATCACTGAGAGATATAAGGAGTATCAGAGCCTCTCTCCCTGAGCTTGTAACTTGGTTGGGGAGCTAAAACTATTTTATAATATATTAAAGGTAATTAGGAATACAACCAGTTAAGCTGCTTATTCCCACACATGTCCACATCCTTACACATCGCAGACTCTCCCTGCTGTCATGCCCCCACCCCACGAAGCTTCCCCTGAGGCCCCAGCTGGAAGTAATCTCTGGCCACTCGTATATTTTATGGCTCTTTTTGTGGCCTGCATTTACTTTCTATCTTGTGTTTGTCATTATGCCTACATTTACTGTGCCTTAAGAGCTGGTGGAGGTGCACGTCTGATTTGTCTTTAAGTCCCGGCATTCCTATAACCCAGTGCCTCACACCAGTGTGTATGAAACAATGAGTGGTGCAGACGGACAGTTGTGGCGAGGTACAAGAAGAGGCGGGGAAAGATCCCCTTAGGTTAGGGTTCACCAGAGATGGCCTCCTGCTGAAGAGTTGTGAGACCTTTTAATGGTTTAAGGTACGTAAGACATCTTATTCCAGCCACAGTCTGCGAGCCACCTTGCCAGACATCCCTGTACTAGGGCGGTGTATGAGAATCACCAAGGAAGGCTGGTCACCAGCAGCACAGTGTCAGTCCTGTTTTTTGTCCTCCTCCTGATTCTGCTATTCAAGAATTATTTCCTCTGCCTGGACTTATCTTCCCTAATCTGTGTGTGGCTGGTACCTTCTTTTCTCACCTCAAACATTACTTCTTAGAGAAGCCTCCTTTCCTAGCCCACTCCATCTAAAACAGGGGTCGGCAAACTGCAGCTTACGAGCCACATGCCGCTCTTTGGGTACGTTCCGTCTCAAAAGTTTGCCGACCCCGATCTAAAATACCGTAATACCCCTCCCATAGCCCAGCACCCTGTTTTAAAAACCTGTTTTTAAAACCAGTATTTGTTTATTGTTTATCTTGCCCTATTAGATTGTAAGCTCCACAAGAGCAGGGATTTTGTCGTGTGTGTGCGTGTACACACAAACACAGTACATGTGCGCATGCACACACACACACACACACATGCACACATGCACACAAGTGTCTAACGCAGTGTCTGGTGTATAAAAAGGGTTCAAATATTTGTTGAAAAAATGAGTGAATTAATCATGCCCAGTACTATTTAGCATGAGAGGCTTAGGGAAATGGCATCTTATAAGGAGATGAGGCAACAAGAAGGAACATATACTCTAAGGTTGGTTAAATGGATCCCTTTTAAGATGGTTTTTTTGTTGTTGTTGTTTTTTTGGGTAAAAATGTCTCATGGCAGGCTGCCTGGAATATCTGATGTAATGATGTCTTTTCTTAAACTGCATTCACATTTTAGAAATGTACATAACAAAATACTACAAGCTGGTTCCAATTACAATAAAGTAAATTGGACATTAGTTTAACTAATTCTTTTACTATTGACCAGAAAAGCTTTGTGGAAGAAGACGTTTGCAGATTCTCAAGTATCTCACATCTCAGAACAGATTGTTTTTAAAACAACAGCTTTACTGAATTATAATTTACATATGTGTAATTTGATAGGTTTTAGTATATGCACAGTTATGTACAACCATTATCACATTTCCATCACCTCAAAAAGAAACCCCATACCCTTTAGCTACCATACCCTTATCCCCCTAACCCTAGGTAACAATTAATCTACTTTTTGTCTCAGATTTGCCTGTTCTGGACATTCTTTATAAATAGAATTATAAAATATGTGGTCTTTTGTCACTGGCTTTTTTCCACTTCATACAATGTTTTCAAGATTCATCCATGTTGTAGCATGTATCAGTACTTCATTCCTTTTTATTGCCAAATAATATTCCATTATACAGATCACACATTTTTATCCATTTGTCAGATGATGGACATTTGGGTTGTTTCCACTTTTGGGCTATTACAAATAATGCCTATAAATATTTGTGCACAAGTTTTTATGTAGACATGTTTTCATTTCTCTTGGGTATTTCCTAGGAGCGGAATTGCTGGGTAGAATTGTGGTAACTGTTTAACCATTTGAGGAACTGACAAACGATTTTCCATCTTGGTTGTACCATTTTACACTCCCACCAGCAGGTTTAAGAGATTCAAAACAGGCTTTACAGCAGAAGGCCAACATGACTAAGGTCTCATCATGTCAGTAAAATGCTAGAATATGTTCTCATATTACCTTGAAAAGCACTTAGTAAGTAACGAATTAAACCTCGCTGGTCAAAGTGAACTTTGATTTCTGTATTACATGTATATGAGTTCTTTTTAAGTGTTTTATGATACAAGAGCATGGACACACTAACATTACAGGTAAGTACAGGAAACCAGAGAAACATTTTTAGAATATAGTCAGAAGTATACTGTGGTTGGGAGAGTTGTTTTGACATTTTGCTCAAACCCAAACTATTCATCAAGAAACTTTTAGAATTTTCTTTAAATTTAAAAATTTCTTTCTTGGAAAGTTCTAGGAGCAGGTAAACAGCAATTTGTATAGAAGTACTGGTAGAAAGGATTGGTTCAAATTAACCTTGTTTCTTTTAGACTTATCTTGAGATCTAAACTGAATTTTTATTACAAACTACTAAAGCCTCTGGCACTGAGGGTTAGTTAGTTTATAACTGGTGAATTCTGAATCACTCAGATTTCTTACTGTGATTCTTGAGAGAATCTTAGTTCAGTGGACCAAAAAAATAATAATTTAATATGAAACAACTAATAGAAGAAAGTTGGCATATTAACATAAATATTCAACTGAAACCCAGAAGGCTTAGCCTGGCAGCCAAAACTTGTTTCAGCACCTCTACTATATAATATGGTAAAGAGCAGGGAATTACTTGTGAAACTTCCTACAATTAACTTTGCCCCAGGGCATGTGCTGTGCAATGGATATATTAATACATATTTATAATGTAACAGCAATTTCAGTTGAAATTTCAGATTTATCCTTATCATAACCTGATAATAAACAATGTTCATGTTTGTAGCAAATTTAGTCCTCTATTCCAGCCCCCCCCACCCAAAAGAAAATTGATTTCTGGTAGCTCATTTGACTCATTGCTTCTGTTCTCATCTTGTTTTTCTTTGCCAGGTATACATGTAGTTTATTCATTCAGAAGCTCAGAATTGGTATAATTGTAGTTTAATCACCCAGTAATTTTTAATTTTATATTATTTAACCTTGAAAGAGAGCTCATTACAGTGGGTAATTTGGCTAATTTTTAAAGATGCTTGTCATCAGTATGAAGTTACCTATTGAGTATGAAATTTCTATTGTTACTCTTACGACATTAAAAGGAAAGTAGCAGATGCCATCACAAATTTGATTCATTTTGGCTTCCTGTATGATAGCATCTTTTTTCACATCCCTTCCTGCTCTTCCAGACAGCAGTGATAAAAGCTCTGGAAAAGTTAAAATGCAGCCAAGAGGATCTGGATCTCACTTTCCAAAAACAACTAATTTTAAAGATTGATGGAAGGAAAGTTCATTAAGTCATAGGTGGCTTTTTAGCTCCCCTTCTGTTTTTCACTTTTCATTTTTATTCCAAGATACATTTTATCCATAGTTGTCTTTTCAGCCCAAACTCCTGGAAGTTTGGGCACCTTCACTGCAATATGGCTTGAATTTCCCTCCCACCCTTTGGGGACACTCATACTCAACCCCTGCAAGTTGTGTTTCTCTCTCCAACTACCATTTTACTCATTTCTTAACTGACTTGGTAAATTACTTACTGTGTGGATTAAATTGTGGATATGTAAGGTGGAAGACAATTTTCTTATAAAATCAGGCGGTTTATAATTTTAGTCTCACTCTTAGGGTTGCTAGTAATGGACTGGACACTCCTTTTATTTTGGTGAGAAAAATCAACATTTGGGAAATGACTTCCCCTAGGTCATCTGGAGAGTCAATAAGAGACAAATGAAGTTGACTACAGCAAAAGGAATGCCTCAGAGACTTTGAGATTAGAATTAAACAAGAGAAACCAAGTTTCTTTTCCTAGGCACTTGGAAAAATTTTAAACCATAAATTTATTTAACAGTACTATGCTGTGGCCTCATGAATTGAATTGCTAAATGCATGTAAGCTTCCCCATGTTGGAAATACTATTCCATCTAGTGAATCTTTTCAAACGATTCAAATTTTGGCTGAAGGTAATTGTATCTTAAAATAATATTTTGTTGAATTAGTGTTTACTGTGTTTCTAGACGTTTTAGTGTAGTTACACAGACAAGCGATGTATCTATCTGTCTGCATGGATGATTGATTGGCCAACAACTACTGTTTGAACAGGCTTGAGAATGCAGCAGTATTGATCCATCTATGCGGGAATCACAAACATGATCCTGCCTTTGGAACAGCTGGATGTTATTATGAGTCTCCTAGAAAGGCCAGGTAGAGCAGTTTCTTTCAAGTAGAAATGTCAACTGTAG